CCAACTCTTTAAAGCCCATACCCGATGCCCCCTTTACTATTTTCCATTTTTGCTTCTGCCAGCTTTGCCAGTGATTCTTCACTCTCTTACCGACCCCATCAGGATTTGGCCATTGCTGAATTAATCTCTTCAAAGAGTTTCTTTGGTAACTTGAACAAGCTATCTATAGGTTAGGATGGCAAGGCCACTGCTTTGATTACTACCTTCCTTTCTTCTTGAGATAGTTTCTGCTGTTTAGAGCTTTGAAGCTTACCTATCACTTTGTCCCTCAGAAAAGGCCATTGCTTCACACTTTGTTTTGCCCCCAAATGATGATTTGCTCAACTACTAGGATTTGGAACTACTCAACCTTAAGACATCCTCTGGTCGCTTTTTGAACTTGATCTGGATTATTGGAGCATAAGACTATGTCTGACTACTCCAAGTTCAAAATCTGCCCTGATACCTGACAATAATCTTGAATAACTTGACAATTTAAAGAGTTAGCATTAAGGAAAGAGAAAGAGTTATCAGCAAATAAAAGATGAGAAAGAGTAGGACAGTGTTCACTAATCTTTATATCACTAAGGCAATGTGATTTGTGTTTTAATTTATTGTTTAAATTATGTTTGTTTAATCTTATGTCTTACGTGTTCTATTTTCTAACATATGGCAGTCTATTTTTTTTATCTCATCCACTTTTATTATTGTCATTTTGCTGACATTGACATTTTGTTACTGGAATCAGGATATATAGGCTTTCATCTGGGTTAGTGTAGTTTGCATTCTGTTTTCATCCCTTTTTAGGCACTGTAGCATTCTGGAATGTTTTTGATTTCACATTTGATGCCTGTTATTAAATGCATTTGAATTGGTGCAAACTTCATTTAAGATGCATTTGCTTGTTTCTTTTGTTCAAGAAGCTCTAATAAGTTTTAAAGAACTTTTGGCGTTACATTTTGTTTGTTTCCTTTCCTAGTTGCTTTTTGTTGTTTACCTTTTTTTCCTTAGAAGGTTTCTAGAAACAAACAATTGAGAAAAGTAGAACACCAATTCTAACATAATTATTCTATATAAAAGTAAACTACGCATTTTGTTTTTCAAAATTACAGTTTTAATTCTTTGTTATATTAGTCATTTTTGCTTCCAAGTGCACATTTGCTTTCTTGTTCCAAAAGTAAAAAAGCAAGTAGTAGTAGCAACAAATAAGCAATACCTGAAATTTTGTTATAAATTAAAAGCAAATAGATTGAGGTGAAATCTTTTACTTAAGAAAGAAAATGACTAAAAAAGTCAACCAATTCAAACATAACGATTACATGTAACTGTAAAACTTGTGTTTTCTCTTATCCTGTTATCTATATGTTTTCAATTATTGCTTTTATTATTATTATTATTATTATTATTATTATTTTGGTATAGGAAGGAGCATGACGTACTTATCCAAAAAAGAAAAAAAAAAGAAAAAGAGGGAGCACAACTTCCTAAATCTAGGATCCCAACGCAACCACCACCCATTGTTACCACTTGAGCTAAGCCTAAGTGGCTGTCGTTTTAATTCTTTATATTTATATACATTTGGTTTTTACATGAACACTCATTTTCTGCTTTTGGCTTTTCAAAACGGAAAGCAAGTCCTAAAAGCAATAAATGAATATAGTCTTGATTATTATATGTTAAAATGGTCTCGGAACTTTACAAAAAATCGTATGTAATGCAGGTGCTGTTTCTAAATGTTGCTTACATGCATTTTCTTGCAATTATGCAGACGTTTATAGCTACATGAATGCCTATCAAATTTTAGTACTTTGCTTTTTCAATAATTTTCTGGTATTGTTCAATGGTCAACTCAATATGTTTTGTGAACAGGATCCTGATCTTGTGGTAGAGGCTATGTCTTCAAGCTCACCATCTCAATCAGCAAAACCATCTGCTTCATCCTCAGCCTCTTCAGCGGCAGCAAATGATCAAGCTCGACCACGCAATGCAGGTAAAAAGTCCTTGCTTCTGCAACTGAGGTTAGACAAAGAAACTAAAACTTGCAATAAATAACATAAAGCTTATAGAATTTTGTGTATCTTTTCTTCCTTATTAAGGATTTCATTTCATTCATTGCACTCAATCCTAAATGTGATGTAGGCTCAACGGCCAGAAGTTCAGGGACATCAGCTGCTGCAGGTTCAAATCCAACTTCTGTGCGCTGGGATCGGCAAACAATACAATTTTCTGTCAATGCTTGGGTATAGTCCCCTGCTCCCCTCTCCTACCCTCCCTTTTCGTTTGTGTGTTAAAGTTCACGCATGTATTTGCATAGTAGAAACTGATTCTTATCTTGTCTTGTTTTAAAAATGAGTAAGATGTGCATTTTGTTTCCTTCTATATTCTTGCACTCTGCAAGAGACAGACCACAGAGTTGAAGAGGTGATTGACTGTTAATGTAATTATGATATGTAATATTAAACCAGTGTGACATCTAGTAACTTCAGCTATCTTTCTTTTGCTGCCCGTAGTTCACTATTCAGTCAGTTTTTTTAGATATTTTGCTTACATTATTTCTTGCAGGTGTTTATTGTGGCTGTGCTTGCCATCTTTCCACTTGTGCCTAGAAGTCTCTCAAACAGGGCTTATCGGCTGTCCTTCATGGGCACTGCTTGTTCCTCTCTATACTCTTTGTATGCACTATATGGGGTAAACCTTAATTCCACCAACGTCCGTTCATTTGATTTTGTATATTGTGGTTCTTCGCTGAATCTTTTCTATGTTTGTGCAGAGACCAAGGGCATGGAATTTGCAGGCTGTTCAAGTGTATTTTCAGTCAATAATTGCAACCAAAGATTTCATCTACTTTATCTACTGTCTTACATTTGTCACTTCACATCTTTGCCTTAAATGTTAGCACTCCTCTGCCCCTAAATTTTTTTTTACCTTTTCTGTTCCCCTTGTTATTCTTGATCTATGTTGCTGAATTCTCTGTGTTATGTAGTATGAAAATTGATATGGATTTTCACTGCAGTTGCTTTGATTCCCATTTTATGCCGAGCACTTGAATATGTTGCAAAATTCTTGAGGCGTAATTTCAATCGTTCTACCTTGTACAGGTAGATCTTTACTCATATATATAGAGCATCAGCTTTACTACAATGTGCTGATATTTAGTTTTAAGTTTACTTGATTAGCATAATTGTTCCTAGTTTTTCACTTTTTTTAATTAATTATGTAATTTGACAATTAATGTTTACTAAAAGAAATTCAGTTACATTAGCTGATGATTTTCTTCATATGGAAAGGCTTAACTTACAGATGGACGAAAATTTTGTTGTTGCTGCTATTGCTATTTTTCTTGTTCTGTTTATGAGTATATTATATGTTATGATCATTATTTTTATCATTTGCATTTTCCATTTTAGTGTTAAACATACTTTTGCATCGACAGGGTGGAGAGATTTGAATCTAGAACCTCTTAGGGCCTCAACTCGTCTTTCCACCCCTGGCTGTATAGACCTCGGTGGCTTATTATCCTTATTACTTAGGAATACACATTTATACTAGTTTAATAGTGCAACTTTAGTGTGAGGTGAGCAGTGAATCCCTACATCACATGCCTAAAGTAAGATGATGGTAAGATGGTAGGATAAAGAGAATTTACTTTCTCCGTGAATGTTAATGCTAAAAAGGAGGTAATAAACAGAGAAGTACTTATCCTGTTTTTCACCTTAACTAATTCCTCAGAAGTACAGTAGTTCAATTTGATCTATAACACACCTTGATATCACCTTAAACATGGGTGAAATGAAAATCATGTCTGCTTATGCATGTGCATGTCTATACTCACAGGTCTCTTTTATCTTTTCCTTTATTAATACTATCTTCTTTGTTTAAATAGGAAGTATTTGGAAGATCCTTGTGTGTGGGTAGAATCAAATACCACTACCCTGAGCATACTCTCTTCACATGCTGAGATTGGACTTGGCTTCCTTCTAATGATGTCCTTGTTCTCGTCAGTTGCTAATATCTTTTCTTTTTTGGTTATATTCCCCTTCAAGCCAATACATTCCACCTGCTCCAGCTTTTCTAATATGCTGAAATTGTATATTAAATTTTGTAGGTGGCAACGCAATATTATACAAACTTTCATGTACTGGCAGGTCTGTAATGCTCCTTTCATCTGTAACTTTATTTTTTGTTTTTAATGTATTGGCTTTCTGTTTATTGATAGTCTGAATGGTATGATAGGATGGTATAGAACCAAGTTTACATATTATTAAAAAAAAAAAAAAAAAACAAGTGTTGGAATGGATGTCTTAAAACTAAGATACTTATTGATCCTATAGTGTTCTTTTATTTTTAATTAATGTTTTTTCCATCTATTATATAATTTTTATGCATTTTATTTGCATTATTTTGGAAACTATAGTTTTATTATCTCATATGATTTTCTTATTTTAAAAAATTATTTGGAATTAAAAACACATGTTACTAATTTTTCTCTTGAATTTTCCATTTTCATTTAATACAATTTTGTATATAAATATTTCGGATTTATTTATTTATTTTGTTTTTGTGTTTTTCTTTTAACTGCATGTCATAATATGAGGAATGGATATTTGATGTTTCTTCTTTGATTGATATTCAGAAATGTCCTTTCCCTTCCTTGTCCCCTTGGTCCCTGTTTTTGTCTCTTGCCATTTCAGTTTTCTTTCTTTTCCTTTTCCTTATTGTGACAAATGGACAATTTATATGAGTAATTTCGTGTCATGGAGCTGTCGCTTTGTTCATAAGGACCATGTTCTTTACATTATTAGGAAGAAAATATTAACTATGAAATACTTGTGCATCCTTAAATCTCTATGAACCCTCAAAATGCATCTCCAACAGTGTATTTTGTGCAGCAAACACCCCATTTTCCACCTCTTAAAAAGAGTCTGGGTTATTGGGTTAGATTGATTATTTGTTGACAAATGAATTAGTCTAAATCCTTTGTCCTTTCTTTCCCTCTATCACAGCTATTGAAGCTTATGTACCATGCTCCGGTTACTGCTGGTTACCATCAGAGTGTGTGGGCAAAGATTGGGAGGATAGTTAATCCTCTTGTCCATCGTTATGCACCATTTTTGAACATGCCGGTGTCAGCCATTCAACGATGGTGGTTCAGATAGAAGTGAAAAGTGGAAGATTTATATGGGTGAAGATGAATAGTTCTACATGGGGTGTAGTTTGCATCTCCTTTTAGAAGAAAAACTGATATGAGATAAATGAAGCAGCCATCTTGACTGTAGATGGTTAAATTGTTCAACTAATTACAGCCCTTTTTGTTTTTCTCTCATTCGTCTCCACCTTACTAGACTTGTGTTAATCATTAAATTTTTTTTTGTTGGATTATATGCTCTTATTAACGCTTTAAAGCTCTGAAGTAGTATACAGTGGAATTTTACTTATTTGTTGGCTAGATTGAGCGTTATGTAATCACGGATATCTTCAATGTGATGAAACCTTATTCAGCAAATAACCTCATATTCTTAGTCTTTGCCTCTTGGAGGTTGTTGATAGTTGATATGGTTGGAAGTGAGACCCTTGAACATATGGGTGTTTTGAGTTTTGTGGCGGCAACAATATCTGGTGTGGAAAAAGTGAACGGGAGCAATGTACAACAACTTGGAATCTTGGGAAGACAACAAGGTGAGCGACTTATTTCCCGTTTTATAAAATACAAAGAACTTGTTCATTCCTAAATATAAAATCCTGATGAAACGTAAGCCAAATCTGATCACCATATATCCATTTGGAGGGTGTCTGCCTATTTTACCTTAACAAAACCAAAAAGGTTGAGGTGCTCATCAATTCAAATGGAGTGGAACATGTAGATATAATAATTCATTATATGGGGCGATCTGGCACTGCCAGATTTCCTAGAAATTTTGAATAATAGTTTGCTTACGAGAGTCCACGTGTCTGCGATCGGTGGGAAGCTGCTGCAATCCAATCCTTTTCGTTACAAAGTGACGAGTGCTTCCTCCGAATTTGTATCCCATTCCACGTCACACCACCAGCTGTGACGCTTCTTTCTGACTCCTAAATTCTGCCCCACACTCTTTTTCTCATTGAAAATTGCAAGTTGATTTCCAATTTAAAACTTGTGTAAACAAAATTAATTTAGTAAATAAAGATTTTTACTTTTCATTTACAATTAAACAAAGTTTATGCAATGCAAGATAATAGAATAAAGATAAATAAATCTTTTTCATCTTATAATTCTCTTTCATTTTTCTTAACATTCTAATGTTCTTTTTGAATAAACATGTTTAGATTTTTTTTTATATTAATTACAATTAAAAAAGATATTTATGTTTCTTAATTATTAAATCTAATAATTAAGCTCAAACAGCTTACAAATGGAAATGATATTAAAATACCAAAATAATGAACATTTATTTATTGCAAGTAATAGGATACTCGATCAAATTACCTTAATATTTAATTTAAATCACGAAACAATTATTTGCATCAACGGATGTAGAAATCAGATTCAATTGGGGAATAATTTATTAACGTTCCCTTCAAAATGTATTTCTTTTTTCAATCATTAAGGAGGAGTTTGACCAACTTTATTAAAAAAAAAAAAAGAATTCTTTTACTGCAGACGAAAAAAAAAAGGTGTTCGGCTTTCAAAATTTTAAAAATTTTAACTTATGCGAGAAATCAATTTTAGTAAACGAAATTATAAATCAAAAAGGCTTAATGTGTAATACTAAATATTTAATTTTTTTATATTTTCATTTATAGTTTAATAATTCTTAAAATCATAAAAGAAATTTATACTTTCTGGATTCATCTATTTTATTTGGTTCAATTTGCTTCTCTTCATTTAATTTATTTAAATGTTTTTAATTACTATAAATCATATTAATTTTTTATTTCTTTCCTTATAAAACTTTAGATTTTATTTAATTAAGTTGATTTTTTTACTTTTATATATTAAAAATAATATTATCGAATAATATTTTATACCTTCCAACACTTTAACTTTGTCAAATATTATTTTAACTTCTCTTTACGGTCCTCTTAGAACAATTATCTTTATAAAAACTTGAATAGGATAAAACACACACTAAAAATAAAAGAATTTATTCTCTTAAAAAAATAAGGTATGTATATTTTATTTCTATATGAAGTAATTTAGCTTAGATATAGATAATAGTTAGCATGAACAAAACCAAATTAAATCAATTATCTACCCAAATCAAATGCAATTTGTATAAAATAATTCGGTCTAATTAGTTCATTTGGTAGATTAGTCCAAAATGTTTGGTTCAATATTTTTTTGCTGGTCTCGATTTTAAAATTTTTGAACCAATCTATTCAAAAAATAAAGCTAATTTTTTTATTTTTTATATATTAATATATAATATTTTTTTATATATGTTAAGAATAATTGACAGTAAACTTAATTAATAATATTCTTAAAGCATATTAGTTTATTATGTATACGTATACAAATCACAATTATAACAATGCAATATTAACTATATTTATTTATTTATTTCTAAATTTGTATTAATATGAAATTACAAGTTATATATTTTAAACAATACAACTTATATGTTAATATTATAATATTAATATGTTATAATTATTACACTTTATTAATATTTTATAATATAAAATGTTATGAATATATATAATTATTTAAATATATTATATATTTAATTTATACATAAATATTGCTACAATTTATAATATGCTTTATTTATATGATTACATTTAATAATTTTATTCGTTATTACTTTAGTTTTTATAGCATATTGTTTATCATTAGTTACTATTTACATAAACTTTGATATAAAACATTATAATATATAAATTGTATCATTAATTTCATATATATATAATAAAGTAATATATTATACATATACATATATTTAATTTATACATAAGCATTATTATAACTTATATTAGACTTTATTTATATGATTATACTTAATAACTTTAATAACTATTACGTTAGTTTTTATAACATATTATTTATAATTAGTTATTATTTATACAAACTTTGTTATAAGAATTTAAACATTATAACATATGAATTGTGTCATTAATTTCATATATATAATAAAATAGTAAGTTATATATGCATATTATTAATTTATGCATAAACATTACTGTAACTTTAATAAACTTTATTTATGTGATTATACTTAATAATTTTATTAGTTATTCTTTTTTTATAACGCATTATTTATAATTAGTTGTTATTTATACAAATTTTGATATAAAACATTACAATATATAAGTTGCGTATTTAATTTTATATATATATAATAAAGTAATATATATAAATATATACTTTATAAAATTAACATATTACTTATTCTTATTATAAATAAGTAATTAATATTTTATAAAATAATAAATTTAATTAATAATTAATTAACAATATATTATAAATAAAGAACTAAATAATATTGATTTCGTTTACAATTTAATAACATTAAATATATTATATTATACATTAATGTCTAATATATTATAAATATTTAAAGATATTATTATTAATAATGATTTATTATATAGTAAAGTTTAATATAAATATATTAAGTTTATTATTATTGACGATTCATGGATAATAGGATATGCATGTAAATCAGGCACAAGCACAGCGTACGGTCAGGAGTTATGAGAAGTATTTCAAGACCTCGAGCTAGTGTGGGAACACGGTTATCGAAGAATTCATGTGCGGGCAGATAACAAGACAGTAGTTAATGCTCTAAATGCTCAGTCTATGAATTGTTGCTCCAATTCAAATGTGATAAGAGCAATAAGACAATGGGAGGTTAGCATAAGTCATATTTACCAGCAAGGGAAATAAGATCATTGACTATATGGCTAAGTTAAGCCTTGATTTAAGATAGTGTTTGGTATGAGGAAAGTGAGAGCACATTCCCTGTAATGTGTCTAATTAAATTATATTATAGTGTTTGTTTTGTAACAGACTACTACAATGTAAGATTACAATGTAATCACAATAAATTAATGTGATTGCAGTCAAAAACTAATGCAATCACATTACATTGTACCTTGTAATATTCTTAAAAATATTTTTACCCTTCAACTTTATTATCTTATTAAAAATATTTTATGATATTATAATTAAAATAAAAAATATTAAAATAAAACATATAATATAAGAATCAAAAATTAAAATAAAATAAAATATAAAAATTAAAAATTATATAATATAGGTAAAATAAAATAAATTAAAATATATAATATAAAAATTATATTAAAAATAAAAATAAAATATATAAGATTATAATAATAAATGAAAATAAAATATATAACATTAAAAATAAAATATAAAAGATTACAATCATTATTTTACTTGTATACTAAATACTGTAATATTATTTTTCCTACAATAATATTACTTACAATCACATTACTTGTAATCACATTACATTGTAAAATATCAAAAATGACATAATTTTTACTTTTGTTACTTATGATGCCCCACCTACAGACATGTCACATCTTTTAGTAAATGACAAATTGAGAGTTGGTTCCCACGCATGATTAATCAATAAAGTAAAAATATTTAAAATTTTATTGATATAATATAAGGACTCGCGTGTGTGTGCGGATGCAAAATAAATCAAAACGTTGCCAAGTGTGAGTAAAAAAATAAAAGTATTTTTTTATTTTTAAATTTTTTATAAAGTTTATAATTATAAATAAAGTTTATAAATTTTAATATTATAATTTTTTTAAAAATAATAAAATTTAATTTTTAATACAAAATTAAATTAATTAAATTAAATTTTTATTTAATTGGTTTAATTTTTCTTTATATTTAATTAAATTTTTAAAAATATTTAATTTATTTAGATATATCAAATCACCCATTCTATCCATTTACTCGCTCGTATCGTGAAAGTAGTAGCACTGAGGGGCGGGGCAGCTACCCTTGCTTATTTGTGTGAAAAACAACCTTAATCCACGTTGCTCATTTCCCTTGGTTTCCAAAAGGGTCAAGAAACGTCTACTAAG